GTAATTTTTGTCTCTTGCAGTTTTTCTGTAAAGTTGATAGTATTTGAGTAAAAAATTATTCAAGACTAATATTTTGCAATCTTTAGTAATTAATATCTTGTTAACTATTGCGAAAATTGCAAAATGATAGAGTACTTTTCGACTTAGTTCAGTCCGCTCTATCTACACAAAAGTGATTGACAAAAAAGGTCGGGACACTCTGTATGTTATCTAGAATGTCTCCATGCCTCTTGATACACGCCGAGCGGCCGAGAGAACATATTTCGATCGCTTGAGTGAAGATACGAAATCGAAGGCAGTTTCTCTCTCGCTCTCAGCGCGCCGACAAGGCCAAACAATGAGGACGAGTGCGAATAGATCGACGATATAGTAGGCACGCTTCTAACTACCAAGTCACACGGACACGGGCTCGTGCTTGTGTTGCTATCGGTTGTGCCAGGCCGCCGCCTGATGGCGTTAGTCTCGATGTCGTAAACCGTCACTGGTCTGGCATCCCTGCCGCCGCGTTTTTCTACCAGATTCTTTCGTTTTGTGTAAAAACGCGTCGAATGAGTATATTTGTATTAAGATTTTAAGTGAGACGGTAGGGGCTGTATTCTAAATAATTACTACAATGAATTATTATTTTGAAAGTTATCGTAAAAAAGGTTATATGGTCTATAATAATGGTTCATTGTTCACTAAATCAAAATGATTCATTGTAGATCACCTACCCTTTTCCACGGTAATCTCCAAAATAATGTGGTAAAATAATACAACAGAAAAAATTTGTTTACAGAATAATAAAGCCAAATGTGCATACAAAACAAATGCACAATGAAAAAAATGATAAGTATAACAAACATAAAAAATGCGTAAAACTTAACAAAAAAAACTTACTTTGCAACCCAAAATTCCTAAAATGTGATATTACATGGCCGTCCTTAGCGTGATCTGCTAGTCGATTGGGAAACCGAGGAGTTCAAATGCGAGTCGCTGCATCATAACAGCAAAATTTGGTAACGTCGCATTTACAGAATATCGCAATGGTTCATAGTGCACTACTGGTTCATAGTTCACTATTAGACTACCTACCCTATATGAATCTCTCTCCCATCATGTACACTTTAAATCTCAAATAAGTATATAAATATTATTTCAGTGTTCAAGATAAAGGTAATTGTCATAACATCGTTTTATTTTTACTTTACGCAATCCTTTTTTTCTTTCTTTCCTTCAAATATATTTATCACTGCGTTATTCTACTCGATTTAATTTATATTTTTTTGAAACTACTTTGCAACTAGTTTCTGCGTGACTAGTGCTCGTCGTTTCTTTTCTTTAAGGTTTACATTTTTAGTATTAAGAAAAATTGCGCTAATTGATAACCAGCGTCGACTCCTATTGCCTGTATTACATATTTCATGATTTTATTAATTGTTCTAATTAAAGGAGTCTGTAAAAACTTATTAATTTTTTCGTTAATTTGTGATTTATCTTTTTTTTTTACGTTTTTGACTTCTGGAAAAAAGGGTGTTATCCCAGATAGAGCATGAAGAAGTAACGCCAATCACATTTGATCGATATATCATTTGACGAAATGACAGATTCACGTTGCGTCGCGTTGCGGGGCTTTTCAGGTTGGCTGGCTGCGCACTTCAGACCAAACTATTCTCTCGATTCACACTAGGATCGTGACGCATAATGCACGTATCACGGTCACCTATGAAAGTGGGGCAAGCTCTGGGTCCGCCGGTGCATCCGGCGGTGCTTCAGGAGTGACCGGAAGTAGCCAAGCTACGGAGGAAATCGTCGACGGTACGTGGCGTCTGCACATTCGCCAACTGAAGGAAACTGACAGAGATTGTTACATGTGCCAAATCAACACTAGCCCGATGATATCCGAGCTCGGTTGTCTCGACATACATGGTAAGTGTTATATCTTATCCCTTGTCGTATCGCATATATGTTCACGTCGCATTCTGATCCGGGAGCAAAGAAATCTTGTGTTTGACTTGTAGTTATAAATCCCGAAATGTAATTCTGAATTTAGATTCATGCGATATTTGCAAACTTTCCGCATTGTTTTTAGCCGCAGTATCAAACACCTTTTAATCATGGACGATTATTGCCTTTATTTTAGCATATGGATTTAGATTTTGAAAGCAATGATGTGACAAGATGATTACAACTAACTAAATTTTGATCGTTTATTATTTCGCTGCATTGAAAGAAAAGTTGCGCATCTTAAAATTAACATTTCTGTAGTTCATTTTTAAAATTCTGGATTGAAACAACGTAATAATAAAGGCGTAACAATAAGACAGAATTCGTAAATAAAACCATAGGAGTCAACCTCTAATTATTAAAAATTTCGAGAGTTTATTACATCAATAATATTATATAACTTCGTACGTTTCGACTCCTGTTTGAGTCATTTTCAGCAATACAACATTGATAAGTACAGCAATAAATGAATCGCAGTCAAAACCTTCACATTCTCTGTTTCCAATGTATGCGATTACTAGGACTTCCGTGAGACCATGAGCAAGTTGTCCAATACAATTACTAGGCTGAGTAGCGATAAAAGACTCAGGCTAAAATTTAAACCGTGGAAAGAAATTCAGTAAGAAGAGAACAACAGAATATCATTTACTCATCTCACGAAATCAAGCATGTCACAACAAAAATTGATATAACGTAATAGAGAAAAGCAAAAACATCTCAATTTTTCAATTTTAAATTTCTCGATTAAAATTGGAACATATCTACATCACGATTAGACAGTATGAACAAGACAATAAAATCCCCCATTTTTTATTGCATATTCTTGTGCTCATTTCAAGAGCTGTTCGAAACACTACATTAAGTTCATTTTTATTAAGACCCCTGTAAAGCTGGCCTCCCATTTTTAAAAAAATCAATTCTTTTTAGAGTTCTGAATTGATATTCGATAGTTCCAGAGTTCTTGATAGTTTCAAAAAATAGTTCTAACTATTAAAGGCATAAAAATGTAAATTCAAATTAAAAACATTAACCCTTAATTGTCATACGCAAAAAAATCACGTAAATGTTACACGGGGTTAATTTGACCCCAGCGTTAAAAAGTGTATACTATTCCTAAAGTTTTCAATATTTTACTTTGAAAATTTGTTCGGATACACCTCAAAGCTGCTAAAAGAAGATGTAATTGCAGTTATGGTGAAATTTTACAGTAAATATACTAAAAACAAATTAGTTTAAATTTAAGAAGCATACTCTTTATAAACAAATAAACCGCATATTTTTTTTAATTTTTAAAATTTTTCGCTAAAAATTTAGAGTTGTAGAAACTAAAATAGTAGTATATTTTATGATAAAGCTAAGTCCGACACTGGATATTCTAAAAAAGATATTTATTTTGCCAAATGAATGGGGAAACTTTAGAGAAAGAAAAAACACAATCAACGATTTATTTGACCTAATACAGGGTATTTCTTTTTAAACTAGCCAGGCAAATATTTCAAATGATATTGAGTTTATAGAAAAATATGTCAGACAAAAATTGTAGAGTGCGGAGGGGACACAAGATGGTGGCCTTGAGTTTTTGATGAATGTCAAACTGAAGATCATTTCAAGGTCAACTTTGGTTTTTTAATGGAATGTAGTATCTTTATTGCATATTCTGAAAGAGCATAAAATTCTGCGTTAAAGTTGTCTGACACGTTTTTCATGAAAATCCATTTTATTGTGGAAATTTAGCAATTTAAGCAAAAAAATACGTAAAAAGAATCATACATCAAGTTGTACATGTTCATGAACATTTTTCGTTCTTAGAGTTACCTGGAATCAACGGCGTAGACGTGACGAAAATCTAATCCAATTGAGGTGCTTGATTTACGTGAGCCCCTTGCCTCTCACTACGTATCAGACTACTGTAACATTACAGGAGATATTCAAAAACGTCTCCTCCAACGGCTAGGCACATGTGCAATCGACGTTGAAGTGAAAACGTCGTTCTTCGTAACATTTCTTCAGGAAACATCGGGAGTTGTTGGCTCTGTAGCAAAAGCAATCCCTTTCACGTAAAAAATAATCGCACGGTGTAAATTCTGGTGAATTCGGTGGCCAGCGAATGAAACCATTACTACCTACCCAACGTTGAGGAAATCATTCATTTAAACAATCACGGGCAACACCCGCAGAGTGTGCCGGGGCGCCATTGTGTTGGAACCACATGTCCCTGCGAGTTTGCAAATTAATGTCTTCCAACAACCCTAGCAGATCATTTTGCAAAAACTGCAGGACATCGCTCCATTTAAATTGGCATTAAAAAAGTATGGTCCAACAATTTGCCCATTCAATATTCCGCACCAAGTATTGACCCTCCATTCGTGCTGATTGTCTACGCGACATAATCAAAAGGGATTAATATCTGCATAGTAATGGGAGTTGTGGCGGTTTAAAGCTCCGTTATTGTGGAATGAGGCCTCATCGCTAAAAAGCATCCTGTCGAAAAAAGTGTTATCTTCTTCCAGTCTTTGCAAAAACCACTGACAAAATCGAACGCGTATCCCTTTCTGATCATTAGTCAAAGCTTGATGTCTTTCAATGTGGCACGAGTGGAAATGATTCTCTCGCCCTTAAAACTCGGTTTACTGTAGAAAGAGAGGTGTTTAATTCGAGGCTGATTTTGCGCTGACATACATGCGGGTTGAATGCAACCATCCCCAAAATAACGATATTCAGCACAGTGTCCTCTGTGCGATCTTTTTTCTTTCGTTGACATCTCAATCGACCATCACGTGCTCTAGCGATGAGATTTGAAATTGTTTGACGAGAAGGATTTGTCGACGATTTGGAAATCGAAGTGCATAAAGACGAGCATATTCTCTAGCATTCTCATTACTTCCGCCGTATTCAATTATTATGTCTATAGTTTCCGTGGGTGAATAATCACCCATTGTTGCAATGCTACGTTCTCGTTAAAACAACTTAAGATATATCTTATACGGTGACATTTTATGAAGCATGCAGTATGAGTAATTCTGTGAAATCATATAAGTAATCAACCGATACTTCTTTCTTTTGTAATAATTGAAACGTTGCCTAAGGACGTAAACCTTGGACATACGCGGGCGTCACCATTCATTTACGTTTGTACGTCCATTATTGCATTCTTACATCGTATTGAGCTCGTCAATGCTTGGTGCGGAATACTGGATGGGCAAATTGTTGGACCATACTTTTTTAATGCCAATTTAAATGGAGCGATGTACCTGCAGTTTTTGCAAAATAATCTGCTAGAATTGTTGGAAGACATCAATTTGCAAACTCGCAGGGACATGTGGTTCCAACACGATGGCGCCTCGGCACACTCTGCGGGTGTTGTCCACAATTATTTAAATGAAAGGTTTCCTCAACGTTGGGTAGGCAGAAATGGTTTCATTCGCTAGCCACCGAATTCATCAGACCTTACATCGTGCGATTATATTTTATGGGGTTATGTGAAAGGGATTGCATTTGCTACAGAGCCAACAACTCCCTATGACATGCAGAATCGCATAGGTAATGCAATGGCATTAATTACTGAAGAAATGTTACGAAGAACGACGCTTTCACTTCAACGTCGATTGCACATGTGCCTAGCTGTTGAAGAAGACGTTTTTGAACATCTCCTGTAATGTTACAGTAGTCTGATATGTAGTGAGAGGGGACTCACGTAAATCAAGCACCCCGAACGTGAGAGGCAAGGGGACTCACGTAAATCAAGCACCCCAATGGGATCAAATTTTCGTCACGTCCACGCCGTTGGTTCCTGGTAACTCTAAGAACGAAAAATGTTCATGAACATGTACAACTTGATGCATGATTCTTTTTACGTATTTTTTTGCTTAAATTGCTAAATTTCCACAATAAAATATATTTTCATGAAAAACGTGTCAGACAACTTTAACGCAGAATTTTATGCTCTTTCAGAATATGCAATGAAAAATACTACATTCCATTAAAAAACCAAAGTTGACCTTGAAATGACCTTCAGTTTGACCTTCATCATAAACTCAAGGCCACCATCTTGTGTCCCTCTCCGCACTGTACAACTTTTGTCTGACACATTTTTCTATAAACTTAACAGCATTTGAAATATTCGCCTGGCTAGATTAAAAAGAAACACCTTGTATTTGGTGAAAAAGTTTTGAAAAAAGTATTTTTGGGCACATAATTACAAAAGTATGTAAAAATATTACAAAAAGTGCAAAAACATACAAACATTGATTTCATTCTAGCCCAGAACATTCGACGCGAAAGTAAACGCGGTGCTTATCACACATTGGCCTGTGACACAAAGGCAAATTATTAGGGATGCACCGTCCGGAAAGTATCCGGTATCTGATTTTATCTGGTACTTTTTGACTATCTGACCGGATATCCGAATCTCATTTGTATCCGGGAATATATCCGGTTGAATTTGATATCATTACATTGTTGATTTTTTCTTTCTTATACAAATGTTCTAGAAACAAGCATGCATATTTATGATGTCGGATAATATATCCAATAATAAGATTTTTTTATTTTTTTATTCGAACCGACAAGAATTAAACACTAAGTATAAGCGTATTCAGAGCTATGACGGTTAAAGCTAGATCTTTTTGCCTAAATAATTCCCAGTGAAATATCTATATCCTATATATGTACATGCATACATGTCATATTTTTATAGTTATTTAAACTGCGCGCCGAAATTTTTCCGGACTTTATCTAACGCAATTAAATTACTGCAATAATATCACAAGTTAAATTAAATTGACAATGTACTGAAAACCATAAATAAATTTATTGCGAAAAATATTACTTCAGCCGGGACTTGAACCCGGATCTCTTGTATTCCGTACGAGCGTCCTAAGCCATTAGACCACCGAGGCCTTAATATATTACGAGCTGTAATA